TTTAACGAGATGTTCCAATGGGGAAAACATGGCCCATACACATAATAAAACAACAATACCTGTACTGTACAGATAAAATACATGAACCATTCTCATGAAACATTACTTATTGCATACCATAGGAAATTCAAACTAATGCGCACCGATATACAGGGGGTCCCCCCGACTTATGAACAACAGCCATGTGAACGGGTTTAAACTTGAAATTTGCAATATTTTATTTACCTGATGACTTACAGGTATTTTTTACTTTCATTTACTGTATTTTGTCATTCTATTTCTTCTTTTGTCTTAAATTAAGTGATTTTAGATGTATATAAGGACTTGGGCTATGATAGAGTGGAATTTTAATCATTGTTCTGTAAGTACGGTATGCACATAGCATGTGTTCCAACTTGAGTACAAACTCAACTTAAGAACGTCCTCGGGAATGGAACCCAATCATAACCGCGGGACCCCCTGTAGAGGAGTAGAGTCAACTTTACTGGGAAACATAAGGAAATACTACTGTACTAAGTGATTACCAATTATTATCTGTCTCTCCTCCTCCCTTTCCCTGGCCAGCGTTGTCATTTAACTGATTTCAAAAGTTTATGGTATTCATACAGCTCGTAACATTTGGCACTAAATTAGAAAAATACTTTACAGGTAAATTTCTTCAGTGGCCATTCCTGCCTCGCCTCTCAATCTTCTTTTGTTCACTTTCTTGGCCAATTTCAATGTCTTTTAGACATTCTAGTGTCTAAAGTAATCATAAAATGAGTAAAACATAAAATTATATTACATCTGTATTTATCAGACACAGTGGCAATCATTAGGTACTGTTAAACAAAATAAGAAACCACTTCACAAAAAACGTGTGGCACGTGGTACGAAATAGGAAATTGACAAATTATCGACATTTTGCTTTTTTAAATAATAGTTTTTGTCCATAATTTATATATTAAGTTAGAACTAAAGGACAGATAACTGTAAAGTGATGAAATTGAGAAGGGAAAGGGGAAAGAAAATTTATATTAGTTTGAATGGAATGAAAATACAATACAGTGATCCCTCCATTAATGAGTACAATTGGTTCCACAGAGTCGCTCGTTAACTGAATCTATTATTTCAATGGGATATTGGATAATTGGTTCCAACTCACAGAATTCCCTTAAAACGAATTAAAAAAGTATACATACAAAGTACTGTATACCAGTAATAGAATTAACAAAACATTAAATATAAACAATATACAGTACTGCCCAGGTTGCTGATCTGACTTTCTGCCTCATTTACACACAATTGCAGGGTCTCAATTGCTTCTCTAACTATTGACAACACAACATACATATACTGTATTGTTTCTCACTTTTGATATTTTTTTCATTTTGGGATTTCTTTATGGTTCTTTATTATCATTATTATTATTATTATTATTATTATTATTATTATTGTTATTATTTTCATTATTATTATTTTTATTATTATTACAGTGTTATTCGTATTATTATCATTATTATTTTATTTTCAATTTTGTATTTTGTATTATAAATTTTAATGACTATGAATTATTATTATTATTACATTTTTGCCCCCGGGCCCTGATGTGGGTCAGTGACCTGTGCCCGGGTGGGCTAATCCCCGTAAACAAAAATATATAGAAAAATAAATAAAAATAAATAAAAAACTATAAAATATTTAAACAATTAATTTGAGGTGTGTTTGTAGAATTCCCAGCGGCTTTGTTTACATAGCGGCAGCGCAAACAGCTGATTGTTGACACAGTGGATGATGACACGCCATATTCTTGAGAGTGCATTGGTTCTAATGCCTTCTTCGTATTTCTTAATAATTTCTTGTTTCACTTGAATTGAAATCGCCTTCTGAGATTTCTTCGGACCTATGCTTGATAATTTCACCAATAAAATTTTAAGTTCACAACAATTTATTTAACTAATTCCAGATTTTTTTTATTTAAGCCAACACTGCACTGTATATTATAAATATGTTAACTAAATTTCAGAATGACCAATAATTTTAATGTAAAAATGCAAAAAAATTCAAGACACAACTTTCTCGATGTTTACTCCACTGGAAACAAAGCTAAACAGAGAACTGATTATTGGCGGACGAGTCGATCAGCTGATGCAGGCACCAGAACGTGTTTCTCGTAAGGCTGTCATTAATAGAATTTGTACTCATTAATAGAACTGAAAGTCTTTACAGGAGGTAACTCGTTAACTGAAATCTCGTAAATTGAACCGCTCGTTAATGGAGGGTCCACTGTATAGGTAGTCAGGTGCTTCAGATGTCTAGGAATAGGCCTGTCAACAAATGGAACAATGAGAAAATAAATTAATCGGTCATCATCACTCTCATTTATGGTAACTCTCCAAACTCTCCTCTCCTCTATAACTAAACTCAAGGATCTCATGGTCTCCTTCATTCTCACCACATGCCTGAACTATCTCACCCTGCCTCTCTGCAAGGCCTCACCAATGTTCTCAATACCCAACTGCACTCTTAGCTATGGATAGGGTTTCCTATCTCTCAATGTCATATTACACATCCATCTCACTTTTCTCCTTTCAGCTAACTCAATCTATATAAGTCATCCAATTTAAATGCCACTGTTTCACTGCCATATTATACTTCACAATTTTCACACAAGTTGTATACATCTTTTTTTTTTTTTAGTAGAGACGGGACCGTCTCTGCTTGAAAAGAAATATAGGCAACAGCTCCTTAACTTTTTTTTTTGCCATTTGACTCTTGTAGCTGAGCTGCTTCAGCACAGTACTGATCATATCACATCCAGGGTAATCTCCCCAAAACAGAGCAATTGCACTACAGTACTGCACTGAATTACTGCCAATACCCTTCTTACCAACAGTACATGGCCATTTGTTACTTTCCACCACATGTCCATCACCCGCATCACTAATCTTTACTTTTGTTTTTTCCACAGTCACTCTCATGCCCTTTGATTACCTTCCATAACTTAAATTTCTCAATTACCTCTTCAGTAGTAAGTTGTCCGTATACAATAAATCCCAAGGCAGACCTGTCCTAAAATCTCATGATAGTGCCTTCAGCATCAAGATAAAAGAAATGGGGTGAAGACAACCCTTGTTAGATTGGTACAAAGAGTATAATCCAGAGTTGGATGGTAAGAGGGATTGGCTGGAGAGCATGGCAGAGAGTGGTTTGGGGGGATGAATATGCTGCTGAAGAGTGATGCTAGGTTGTGAGAAGTAACAAAGATCAACCGTAGAGATACTCAGAACCTTATTGAAAAAAGGGACTACTATAACAAAACACATCTGTTACAAATGTAAGGATGAATGAGTGATAGTGAATAAGGCTTAACAGTAGGAAAAAATCTACCATTACTATATCACTAAGTCAAAATAATCACTTTATATACAGTACCTTGTACAGTGCTTAAATAAATATACAATTAACTGGAGAGGAATAATTTATATATACAGTCAGTCCTCGACTTACGGCGGAGTTAGGGACCGACGACCAGGTCGTAAGTCGAATTGGTCGCAACTCGAAAATGCGAAAATAATACATAGAAAATCTAAAATGGGTGTCTCTTTTTCTTCTCAGCACCACGAGAACTCTCACTTTTACGCTTGCCAGCCATTTTAAAGTGAATTACAAACAAAAATTTTGTCAATACACAGCGAGATCACTAACATCGGGACTCGAAAATACGTAATTTAAAAAATATTTTATATGACTGAGGAGGTCTTATGTCTGGGTGGTCGTATGTCTGGGTGGTCGTAAGTCGAGGAGTACCTGTACATATATGTATATATATATAATGCAAATCCAATCAACCAAATTTATTTGATTTTAAATGAAGAGTGCTAAATATTTTAAAAAGAGTATTTACATGTCCCAGATTCCAACACAAAGCATACCTATTATCATTTAAAATCTGTATTAAAAATTCTAAATTTTAATATCATTAAAAGTCTATTTTTTTTATATAATCTAATGTATTAGGAACAGTACTTACCTTAATGATGCATTGTTTATAGAAGATTATTATAAAGGTCGCCTATGGATTACTGCATCACCCTAAATTTGAGTCGCCATATTCATCACTCGGCTCCACTTGAATTTTTCCAACATTAAGAAAATCATAACTCACTTTTTCATTGGTATTATAATGGGAATAATTTGCTGATTCAGCTTTCCCTTCATGCAACCCTTTGGTTATCCATTGAACAGGGGCTGTCAGAACATGTGTGATGTAGCACTTTGTCACACTGATTGCAATATACTTCATTCTACTTCTTTGGCATCTGGTAAGTAAATAATATGGAAAGTTGATTCTGGTTAACAGATAGGTGATAAAACTATGGATAGTATTGGGAAGGATATAATCTGCAGCTAGTTAATGATCACTGTGGACAGTAGAAAATCTACTGTGTGTGTGTGTGTGTGTCAATATATATATATATATATATATATATATATATATATATATATATATATATATATATATATATATATATATATATATATATATATATATATATATATATATATATATATATATATATATATATATATATATATATATATATATATATATATATATATATATATATATATATATATATATATATATATATATATATATATATATATATATATATATATATATATATATATATATATATATAGGTAATAACATCTTGTCTTTCTGGCTTAATAAATTCATCTCAATACCCATAAATTCATTGATCCCAGCCATAGAATTCAAAATTAAATGATTCTTTATCTCATTACTGTTCCCCTTTTTATATATCACCTGTCATCATATTCTCTATATTCCCCTTCCTTCTTACCCTTATACTCATAATTCGAATTGTTCCCTTTCTTTTAAACCAAGTTTAAGTTGAACTGGAATGTTGTTTGTTCTCCAGTTTTCCAAATTTGGGTCTCCATACAACTGCACTTCAGTTAAATCTAGATGAATGGAAATGCTTTTTTTTTTCTATTTAGAACATTTTTAGTCCCATATACATCCTTTATTCCTTCTATCTATCTGCTATGATTTCTAGCTCCCTACGTCCACTGCTGTTCTTCTTGGATTCGCTGGAAACATTCCTCCATGAAGTGATACTGGAAAATATAAGAAACATTAGCAATCATTAAGTCTCATTTATGTATAAATAAAAGTTCTTTAGTATAAAGACAATACATATATTGTATTAAATAAAACATTTGCAGCTAATTATGTTTTATTATGAGTGATAGAATACTAAAATCCCATTTCATGATCATGATGTACGCAGATAGTGTTCTTGTTATCCATCTTGACAATGCCACCTATTGTCATCCCTTGGATACAGCACTGGGTTAATACCAAGGTACAGTAGTTAGCAGTCCAAACCATAACTGGCCAATCTCTATTATAAAATAAAAGGTACTCCTTTGGTATAGGTTTTGCAATTAAAACCAGAAAGGTCAACTGGTTATGTATCCCAATAAACCCATCAAACTTTAACTGATGTGATCACACCTTTGACTCTCCCCTCAGTCACAGAAAATGGGTCCCTCAATATCAATCACTACTTTCACTGTCAAAAATCAGACCTGGCCATCGATGATCTACACTGAAGGTAGGGGGGTGGGAAAAGAGAACCAACAGCTCATCTCTCAATAAATTGTATCTCAGGATTTAATCACCCATATATAGAATTGAATTGAATTGAAACAGTTTATTTAGCCAGAAAAACACAGATACAGAGTGGATAATAATAACAATATTAACATGGCTGAGCCAGTTGAGAACCTGAGCTCTCTTTTAGGCACTTGATATATACTATATATTCATCTCAAGGAAGTACTATGTAACATTTAGTATCACCTGAAGTAGTACAATAGCATGGTGGTAATAAGAACATCTCATAATGTTACCACGGTTTATCACTTCAATATTTATTAATTTTATTTATTTATTATTTCATATATATATATATATATATATATATATATATATATATATATATATATATATATATATATATATATATATATATATATATATATATATATATATATATATATATATATATATAAATAAATTACAGTAGAATTGAAAAACATAAGTAGAATGGGGGAGCAGTACAACATGGGTTGTACAGTAATAATGTTGAACAAGAGGACAGAGCTGTCAGGATTATGTCTAGTTGGCAATTGTGTTTATTGCAATGGTAATTACTTATCTATTTACAAAACGAGCTACGTATAAACATATTACTCAAGTAAAGAAAATGGCTTGTCATAAGACCCTATATGAAGGAAAAAAAAAAAAAAAATTGCTGATCACTGCACCAATCCAAGCTAACTATGGGCCTCCAAACAAAAGCCTCTCCCCATAATTACCCACATTAACATTTCTCTATATTTTAAGACATGCTTTTCACCGTATCTTCCAAGCATTCATAAAAAGACTGAATGAAAAGATCGTTGATGTACACAAAGACTGCATAAAAAAAAAATTCTAATATGAACACTCACTTACATCATTCTTGATTTGCCATTAATTGGGCCGAGAAATTATGGGCTTTATTTTCTGTACAGTAAAATAATTTTGGAAAATCAAATAATAGGTTCTTTTGTCAATTCACGTTCTTTTGGTAGTGTTAGATATGTAAACTTTGGATTTCCAAAAGTATCTACCATTTAATGCTCCTGAGTGTTATCTTCAAACCCTATATCTAGAATCATTTACTCCCAACGGTACATTTCAGTCATTTATTATCTGCAGTTTCATACACATTATAGTAAACATAACTCAAAAGAGAATTTAACAATCAAAGAGTACTAGAAAGATTTGAAATTGTGCTTCAACTTAAATCAATTAACCCAGTTCCCATTTTCTCAAGGATATGCAGGTGTCCCTGATCATTTGTTTATAAATAGAATTGCAAACCATATATCATACTGAGAACATGCAAGGACCCATTCCAGTGAATACAATTATGAAGAAAAACTAGATTACTACAGTAACTTACATATGGTGTAAATATCTTAACCCATCTGATTAATTCTTCTGTTTGCCTGTAGAGAAAACAAAATGCCATTGCTTCATCATCCACTTCAAATTTCTCAACAGTTGACCATGCAAAGTCAATTACTTGAGTCTGAAAATATTCAACAGTGTTAAAACTTTTTTTAATGACCAAACTATACATTATCTTTAAAAATAAAAGTTAAAAATACAAAATAATTCATTTCCCACTTTACTAAGTATGCAGTATATACTAAAAAAAAAAAATAGCAATAAGAATGGTACACAAACAAAATGATTATATTAACTTGAGGATAGGGGTGTAAAATTCCATTTTATGGCCAGAAACAAGCAAGTGACGTACAAGATGTACAATTCTTAGGCATCATGAAGATAGAGCCTGCTCTTGTCTATAATGTGTGTATTGCTCTCTTCTTTTTTTTTTTGTTACAGGGATTAGCCCACCCGGGCACAGGTCACTGACCCACACTGGGGCCTGGGTGGGGCCAAAATGTAATACAGGTAATAATAATAATAATAATAATACAGTAATAATAATAATAATACAGTAATAATAATAATAATAATAATAATAATAATAATAATAATAATAATTCATGGGAAATATAATTTATATAAAAAAAATAAAAAAATCTTAAATAAAATAATAATAATAATAATGATAATAATAATAATAATAATAATAATAATAACACTGTAATAATACAGTAATAATAATAAAGAACCATAAAGAAATACAAAAATTAAAAAAAGATCAAGAGTGAGAAACAATACAGTGGTCCCTCGATTAATGAACACAATTGGTTCCACAGAGTCGTTTGTTAACCAAAAATTTTGTTAATTGAATCTATTATCTCAATGGGATATTGGGTAATTGGTTCCAACTCACAGAAAAAGTACATACAAAGTAAAGCCCAAAAACACACAAAGTCAGAAGCACTCCTACAAATCACCAAAATCGCCCTTAAGTAGCTATACAGCTCCTCCCCGACTTAGGACGGGGATAGGGACCCAAATCCAGGTCGTAAGTCAAAATGGTCGTAAGTCGAAAAAGCTTAAATAATACATAGAAAATCTAAAATGGGTGTCTCTTTTTCTTCTCAGCACCACAATACTCTCACTTTTAAGCTTACCAGCCATTTTAAAGTGAATTACAAATGAAAATTTTGTCAGTACACAGCTCAATCACTGACGTTGGGACTCGAAAATACGTAATTTGACAAAATTTTGGTTCGACTGAGGCGGTCGTATGTCCAGGTGGTCGTAAGTCGAGTAGGTCGTAAGTCGGGAAGGAGCTGTGTATATATATACGTACATATACACTCTTACTCTTAAATCACTACTGTAATGTAATACAGGTGATTAACTTTTCGCTCTTATGCAAATTATATGACTTTTATATTCAAATTTTTCGCTGTCTTGCAAGGATTCCAGCAATACAAATTATATTCTAACTTTAGTCTGTGACATTATATAAGATAAAAACTGTAAGCCTAAAACCCTGGCTGGGCAGATGAGGGAGGGGGAGGTGAGGTGATATGTTTGGCAGTTGGCGCCGAAGGTCTAATGTGTGTTTATTAGTCCTTAAGAGTGACTAAGCTTTTCTCTTATAAAATGCCACTGAAATGACCTGGGAGAATATAATTTATGTTGCTGGGATTCTTGTAAGATAGTGATTAATTTGAACATAAACAAGCTATAATTTGCACTAGACATAAAAATTTTAGTGCCGTAATCATTTAGTACATGTACAGTACAGGTTTGCACTCAGGTCATTTATTTCTTTTACGTTTCTTTTAGTATGGTGTGTGCATGTAAATGAATGAAAATAAATGAAGAAATTTATGTAAATCTACAACATGCTATAGTTTGCACAAAAATTTTAGTAATCATTTTGTACATTATTTTGAGTACATGTACAGTACAGCTTTGCCCTTAGGACAGTGTGTGCATGTAAATGAGCAAAAGTAAATGGATAAAGTTACATAAATCGAGCCAAAAATATTAGTTGAAAAACTTTATGTAGACAGAGCTTGGATGACTAAATTTTAGAATGACCAATAATTTTAACATTAAAAATGCAAAAATATTCAAGAACACAACTTTGTTGATATTTACTTCACTGGAAACGAATGTAAACATAGAATCGATTACAGTACTGTATTGGCGGACTAGCCGATCAGCTGATCAGCTGATGCACACAACAAAGCGAGTTTCTCCTAAGCTCTTAGGCTTTCGTTAATCAAAGTTTTGTTTGTTAATGGAACTGAAAATTTGTTAATTGAACTGTTCGTTAATCAAGGGACCACTGTACAGTATATGTATGTTGTGTTGTCAATGGTAAGAGAGACAATTGAGACCCTGCAATTGTGTGTAACTGAGGCAGAAAGTCAGATCAGCAACCTGAGACAATTTTTTTGATGCCATATGGCAGCAGGGTCTACTATTAGACAGCAGTGTTATATGCAAGTAACCACAGAATTTGTCTTATGAATTAAGATAAAACTGTATAATGTACAGTTCTATAAAGATAAAAATAAGAACAAATAAGTGTATGAGCATATTGGATGTGGAAGACGAGTGTTTATCTGGGAGCAGCTGGCAGAGGGGGGGGGGTAGCATGGGTGGGTGGCTCCCTCCCCCCACCCTCTCCCACAATAATCCTTTAACACTTCTTTATGCAATTCCACCACAATTCTCATATAATTTAGGATCATTTGGTTTCAGATTGATAAAATATTATCCTAAAAGAATCAACTTTCCTGAAGAATTCCACACTGAACACCATGAGTCATTTCATACTCATTTGTTTACAAAGAGCAAACAGCTGATCAGCTTACCACAATGTCTGTCTTCAACACTTAGTATATTAGTACAGTACAGTTGTGTAGTTATCATCCCTTAATAAATATTATTGCAGTGTATGTTTATCACCACTTAATAAATACTATTGTAGTGTAAAGTATTATGCATCTGCATATACCCTGATTTATTCATTAATCATTTGTCTAAATACAAGTAGCCAAACTGCATCATCATATAACACTCAAAGGTAGTAAATAACTTTTTTAAGAAGGTATCTTAATATCAAATACTATTCAGTGTGTTATAGTGACCCCTGTTGTAAGCTGGTCTACCAAAAGCTCTCACATGAATGCATCTTGAGTAAATAACCTTCTGATACAGCTTATCCTTTCATTTTCAAGTCATATTACAAATTACATACAGTATTTTATTTTTTCTCTATTACTGAAGATGTTATATTTATCATGAAGAACCATAAACCATAAGAGGCCAATCATATGAGAATATAATACTGAATCAATAAATAAATAAACCTGACAATGTGGCAGCACCTGATCAGCCCCAACCAGCATACATACTCAAGTGTCTTAGTTCTCAGTAGGCCTATAGCAATCTGATTAGTAACAAAGAGTAGCCTGGTGTACACAGAATAGGCTGAATTTGATGAAATTTACAGCACCTTGGTAAAGCAGTTACTGAGAATGATACACAAATATTTTTTTTTTATCATTCCTGTACTTACTTGTAAGGTGCCATCTTCTTTACAGGCTTGTAACCTAAATGATTTATACCCCACATATGCAACTACATGACCCTTCTTCCGGGAATCACAGGGACAGTGAGGGAAAACAATATCACCATAGCCTTCACATCCCCGAACAACCTGGAACAGAAAGATAAATCCATCACTTGATTGTCCGTTTCATCATTGAGACTCAAGGCTCGGTTCTAAGATTTGGGTGTATTCCAAATGATGCATTCCAAAGGATATAATTTGTTTTATAGAAAAGGCATATATAAAAATATAGTGATTACGTAACTTCAAAAGTTGAGGAAACAGGAAAAAGATTAAGATAAAATATTAGCCCTGTGAACTATCTGAAATTAATATTTACAGCCAAAGTCGATGTCAACACTGCCATCCAAGAAATCCTGACTGGTATGAGATGGGGGTTAAAAAAGAGAAAGCAAGAAAGAGAAAAAATAAAAACAGAGAAATATAAGGAAACAACAGAAGCAGGATGAAAGAATAGAGGGTAACAGCCGACCAAAGTATGTAATGGTGGCTGGGCTCGACTGAGGACCAAAATGATGGCCTACTGTCCCGCTGCTGGTATCCATCAATCAGGTGCATTGGGGTCTGAAGTCACTTCATTAACTTAAAATGAACAGATTATAGTACAGTATTTATTAAAACCCCCAAATTTTGTGAGCAGCACAGTATCAAGTTTCATAAATATTTGCAGTTAGAGTAAATGACACATAGCACAGTGATATGATTTGTGCAACAATAAAACCACTTCCCAAAACCCACGTCTTCACTATATGTCTGAAAGGAATTCTTATTAAGTAAGTCCCCGCTTAACGTCTGGGTTACGTTTCTCAAAACGCGACGTTATACGACAACGTTAAGCGGATCAATTTTCCCCATAAGAAATAGGGAGTGTGTGGGTGGTGTTGGAGGGTATGTGTGGGTGGTGTTGGAGGGTGTGTGTGGGTGGTGTTGGAGAGTGTGTGTGGGTGGTGTTGGAGAGTGTGTGTGGGTGGTGTTGGAGAGTGTGTGTGGGTGGTGTTGGAGAGAGTGTGTGTGGGTGGTGTTGGAGAGTGTGTGTGTGGGTGGTGTTGGAGAGTGTGTGTGTGGGTGGTTTTGGAGGGTGTGTATGGGTGGAGAGTGTGTATGGATGGAGGGTGTGTGAGGGTGGAGGGTGTGGGTGGAAGTGTGTGTGGGGTGAGGGTGTGTGGGTGGAGGGTGTGTGTGGGTGGTGTTGAGGGTGTGTTGGAGGGTGTGGGGGGTGTTGGAGGGTGTGTGGGGGTGTTGAGGTGTGTGGGTGGTGTTGTGTGGGTGGGTGGTTGGTGTGGGTGGTTGGGGTGTGTGGGTGGTGTTGGGTGTGTGGGTGGTGTTGGAGGGTGTGGGTGGTGGTGTTGGAGGGTGTGTGTGGGTGGTGTTGGAGTGTGTGTGGGTGGTGGTGGAGGGTGTGTGGGTGGTGTTGGAGGGTGTGGGTGGGTGGTGTTGGAAGGTGTTGGGGATGTGTGGTGTTGGAGGTTTTGGGTGGGTGGTGTTGAGGGTGTGTGTGGGTGGTGTTGGGGATGTGTGGGTGGTGTTTGAGTGGTGTTGGAGGGTGTGGGTGGTGTTGAGGTGTGTGGGTGGTGTTGGGGGGTGTGTGGGTGGTGTTGGGGGTGTGTGTTGGGGTGTGGGGTGGTGTTGGGGTGTGTGGTGGTTGGGGTGTGTGGGTGGTGTTGGGGTGTGTGGGTGGTGTTGGGGTGTGTGGGTGGTGTTGGGGTGTGTGGGTGGTGTTGGGGGTGTGTGGGTGGTGTTGGGGGTGTGTGGGTGGTGTTGGGGGTGTGTGGGTGGTGTTGGGGTCGGTGTTTAAGGTAAGCCATGAATAATGTTTCTTATGTTTATATGTACTTATCATGTGTCTGAGGTGTCTCCGTAGGTGTGAGCATATTAAGGAAATTAATCTCAATCTAGCGATCTAGTTCATTAAATCAAGTGAAAAATAACAGAAAAAATTCCTTCCGCTAAATAGAGGGTACTGTATACTGTACTTACCTAAATTGTCAATTACCATAGAAAACTAACCTGTAAATACTGTTCTTTGCGAGCTACATCCTGAAGTGCCTTTAACTGATATAATTGATCTGTTGGTTTAATGTGTCCTCTATTAACATCTTCTACTGCTGTCCAGAACAACCACGTATGTGCTATATCATCAGAGCTGCACAGACGAAGCTGAAAAAATATTGAAAAAGGAAACACAATATTAATACAGCAATAAACCCATAGGAGGTACAGTATATCAATACAAAGCAATATAATTCTTTTTTTCATACACTTAAGACATGAAAATGAAAGGCACATTAATGGAGGAATGGCCCTGAAATTAGTTTTTCTAGTAACGCCCACAACCAACTGCTTCTTGTAATATACAGTAGTAACTCAATACATTGGACTAATTGGGGCAGATCCCAGCCCGGAAAATACTAAGGTCCGAAAGAAGTGAATCTACGGTGAGGGGAGGGGGTCTGGACATAACACTGCTTAATTGGACTGATTCATGAATATCAGTTATTGTTATATCTGTAATGTTATTACAGTACTGTGCTTCAACAAGTTTGGTTGTCAACAACTGTTTTCACTAAGATGATTGTTTAATACTGTAAAATTTTATATGTAATTAACAATTGACTTTATTTCATGAATAAAGAGAAAACTGTACAATGTACAGTATGTACTGTATTATAAAGATAAAAATAAGAAAACATGTAAGAAAACATAAGTGTAGGGTTGTTAGTCCTGGCTCTGCACTACACTTTTGTATAAAAGTTACGTTGTTCAAAGTTTGACACTTAATTTGAGTTGTATGACTCTTGAACATCAAAGCTATCATAGTTAGACTTTTGATTTAGGAGACAGTCTACTGTTGGGGAACAAATCCAAAATGGCCACCAGTGTACATGGGAAAAACTGAGGCAGTCATAACTTTGGAACTAGAAAGCATAGAGCAACAAACTTTGTATAAATTATGGCCAATTTTATAAGTCTAATATGATGGATGTGTCTATTTTATGATCTATCATCATCTGCAACTGGAAATCTAGTATTGTTGCCTTTGCTGACTGCCAAACCACTCAATGATGATATGTTTAACCCTTGGACAGAAAACTCATTGCCCACCTAACCATCATGTCTATCAGCCAAAAACGGGGAGATCACTTTTATTTTTAAGACAGGAAGCCTAACAGTAGCTGTGTCCAGTGAGTAAATCCTAAATTCTACTAGTCCTGCTGGCAACTTGATAATTATGGTTATTTTGTGTCCCTGTTTTGGCCAGGGTGATGTCCTTATTCCATATTAAGGAAGTTTCACTGTATACAACAATTATAATACTGTACACTTACTTCTCTGTGTGGATTGAAGATCCATCGATGAAGACAAAGACATGTTGCTGTTGCCGTACTGTAGTTCTGAATGTATAAATTGTGAGGAAACTCATCATCACTAATTTTTCGTTCTACAAGAGGAAAGAGAAATTATTAAATATTTATCACCAAGATAAACATTCTGTTTCCATTCTTCTATTTACTAAGGAAGTAAATTTCCTAACTAAAAGACAATGTGGAAACATTAAGAACTTTATACAAATGTAATACTAGTGAAGAAGAAAAAATAACTTCATAGGAATATCTACAAAGCCTTCTCTTAACAACATTCCAAAATATTTCAAATTCTTCAAATAATTTTTTATAAAGGCAACATTAATAAAAAAAAATCATATGAAATACAGCACTGTAGGCAAAAGACTTACCAAAATTATATTCTACAATTTCAAAAAGAGCAAAACATTTAGCAGTCTCTGGAGGGATAATAATTTTTTCAACCACAGCTTGATAAACTTCATGAGCAAGAACATTCTTTGCCTGTGTAACTGTTACCACACTCTTGTCTGGCAGCAATACCTTCAGGTCCACACGAATACTGTTGCCCTATGGAAGGAAATACGGTGTACAGTATTTCTCGAATCTGTAAACAAGTGTTTGTAAGTTCTGAATTGATAAATTTAAAGTCCTCAATTAACAATAGAAACAGCATAAAGATTAATAAATTCCTCTGTTAATGCCCCTGTAATCCAAATACATGATCCAATGCACTAATCAAAACTTCTGTAAATACTGTACAGTATAGTTTATGCATTAACTACCAGATATTTAGCCTCACCTTTAATACCATGCAGTGATTAAGGTAAACAAATGTTGTTACTCTCCACATGCATTATACACCCCCCCCCCCCTGTACATACTGTACATGTATTCCTCGGTTAACATGGATTCACACCTCACGATATTTACACTACTCATTTCCAGCTTAATAAAATATAAATGTGTTCCTGGTGTCTCCTGGACAGTTTCTTTGCAACTACACAACAGTATAGTAGGGTCGGAATATATAGCAATTTTTTATAAAGATTTTTTTATATTGCGACTACCAATATTATCGACATTTTCCAAAATATAGGGAAATTGGGCAGGAAATACAGTATTTAAAATTTACCGCCATGGCAAACAAATATGTTATTTGCTCACCAGAGGCACCACCGTGGCTGCACACTCAGGCATTCACGCTCATCCGCACAGTCTTTCTGAGTGAGTGACGAGTAAGCAGCCGACTAGGCTGCAGATTCCGACTTCTAAGGTGAATGTAAATGGGTTGCTGGTGATGTGAAAAGTTAAGTGAAGAGAATGGAAAGCTTAACGGAAAAGATTTAATACTGTAACTAATATTTTTGTTCAATCCAGAATGCGAAGCCTAGCTTATACCTAAGTATGTTAATGCCTAGCAATAACTCACCAGGCCAACATACAGTACAGGCAATTAAAACATCTAATAATTACTTAATAAGTAATATTAGGAGGACACGTCGCTACCTGGAATTTAATTGCAATTCTCAAAACCCCCTCCCTCCCGCACCCTCAGTCACACGCACTGCCACCTTCATCTTCTTGCCTGGCGAATCAGCTGTAAATACACACAAAGGCGGCTCCGCGAATTTGTGTTGTAATAGCTGAAATACAAAGTGCCACGAGGATTTTATATACGGTATTTATACATCTTAACACAGTGAGGAAATCGAGTGACTTTTATTTTGTTTATGTCTCTCAGATATTGTGTTTGGGACAATTTCTTATATGATCTGGTCAGCATGGCGACCACAGCGTGTCTTCTATTATGAAGTTGCTAGATCGTTAATGACTAATATCCTCTGCTTTCAATTCAAATCACTCAGTGAATGACGTTGAGCCCTCCCAGGCTCGTCTTCACTGAAAGAAGAAAGATATATATATATATATATATATATATATATATATATATATATATATATATATATATATATATATATATATATATATATATATATATATATATATATATATATATATATATATATATATACAATTTTCTTTGTCCCAATTATACACGTGCTAATATGAATACCATGATTTATGTGGCTATCTCTCTCCCTGCTCTTATGTTCGTTCACAAAACTTTTCAGGCTTCCACCCTGGGTTTTCTAATTACTCTCAGCATGAAGGCCAGAGTTGAGTTTTTCTCTTCATAACTCTATTTTATTGATGTCCTCAGTAGCAGGTTCAGCCTTATTTTTGCCCAAACCACATTCACCTCGCATGCACATCATTTTGACTTGCTAAACTTTGCAGTTCTTTTGTGATTTACCAGCAGCACCCCTGACAATCATGAGTGTAAAGTAAATACAGTAAATCCTCGAAGATCCGGACCCGGGAAATCCGGATTTCAGAAGATCCAGACAAAAAATTTGGGGGTTCTGGGATAAGACGCCTCCTAGAAGTTTCCCTAAGAACATTCCCAAACCAGAGCAAAGAACATTTTAGGCCCATGGGAGCTGCTTGATCCATCAGTTGCTTGGACAAAGGTGCCAACACAGCAACTACACCCTGAGTTAACGAGCTGCATGACCCGGTGTCAAGGAATAGTCTGAAAAGACCGGACAACTCGCCAACTGCACTGGCTAACCATTACTCCGGAATACGATTGGCAAATCGATTAACATCCAGGTTCCCAATTTCTGCTGGGTAGACAGTGGCAAATTGCGTACAGAAACTTGCCCATAGTTTCACCCAGCCCGGGGATCAAACCCGGGTCCGCTCACTTGCGAGGCGAGCATGCTGACCATTACACCACAGGTCGCTCAGTAAGGGCGAATACAGTACTGGACACAGACGCAAAACTGAACACAAGCTGGGGAATGAATTAAAAAAGAGTGACACTGTTGGTCCTGTTATTGTTGTTGGGTCCTCAACCATCCTGTAACAACCACCCAGAATCCACACAAAATAAATTTTAAAAGTTCAGTGAAATTTTTTGTCAAAATCGCTTTATTTTTAATTTAAAAATTTCCAAAATTCCGTAAAGGCAAATTTCCAAAAACCAAGTTTCCGTAACGTGATGAAGGTGTGGTAGGGGATTAGTTGGTCTCATGTCACTGACCTGACCTGTTGTAATGTAAGGTCCACCCATTGTACTTAAACTCTTCTCTTGTTTGCAGTGGTGGTGGGGTAAAGAGATTAGTGGTCTCATATTACAACTGCCTGGCTGTACTCCTCCGGCCACCAAGGAACAGGTTGGCTAGCTACACGACCAGAGGTCCAAGGAATGGAGCAGTGGCCAGCCTATTGGAGGAGACTGGCTAAGCATTCAACCGCATCATCTGAGGGAAATTCTTCAATACAGTACTTCTGCCTGCCTTCACTAGTTCTTTGATCTACTCCCAGTTCGCCTTGTGTAACCACCAACTGGGAACTTGTGGTGTCGGTAGGACTTCAAGGGAGGAAAGATTGCCTCAGGAATACACCCCCAGAATTATGATACGTACTTTCGAAACACCCTGTATATCCTGTATATGAAATCCAATAGAAAATTCAATTGAAAGACATGTGCATGTCCCATCTTATGGCTGTGCATCAAATGACCAACAGCAACCCACCACAAGCCACCACCACCTACAGCCATTTTTATTCCTTTTATGACATTAAAATAATAAACATGTAATAAATGCATAAAAGAAGTACCCTGTTGTATATAAGTTGTCATAATGAATAATTTACTGAAAGGTGTGTGTTTTCCTACCAGTCATGCTACCGAGGAGACATTGTGGGAGTTGTTTATGCATGAAAGAAATTTGTTTCTTTAAAAATGACCCCAAATCATCCACAATTAGTACAAAAAGACCAGTCAGTGCTATACCAAGCACACCTTGACTCACAAAATAGTGAAAGTAAGTCATTTTATAGGTGATACAGTATTAGATATTATTAAGTGACATAAGCATGGTGAAGGAACAACTGTTGATAAATGAAATTAAAGAGGATAACATGTACTAACTTTTAAAGTGTACCTTTAATATTATTTCATATATATTTATACATACAGTATTTTCTATCAACCCAGTCAAAATAGCCTCAAAGTTCACAGCCATATAAACATCCCCCTATAATGCAGTCTACATGGTTTCTTATGGGAAAATTACTTTCGCATACTGCCGTTTCACACAATGCGAGGGTTTTCAGGAATAGAACCTTTGTAATAAATGAGGAATGCCGGTACAGTATATGAAAATATACTGGTGCATCGAAGGCGGAGAAGCAGCAAGTATATAAGAACAACAAATACTTCTCTGAACAATAGAGAAAAATGAGATAAATTTTTCACAGTAGGCCAACTCACTTGGTGATCATCAGAATCATTAAGAAAATCTTGCATGATATCTGATTCTGCTATAACCCTCACAGCACAAACTTTCTCAAGGTACAGTTCCAAACCTCGGCGTCGCCCATCTAACTGCTGTTCTGATAGTCTGTGGAGAAAAATAAGAATCATCTCAAAATGTTGTTTTATGCAAAACAACAAATAAAACAGTGAAAACTGAGGACTTGATCCTTAAAGTATATTATATAATAGAACCATTAGGAGTTACTCAACTACAGTATAATGCCCACCAAAGTTTTAGGATTTGGACCCAGGAACCCTAAACTTAAGCTAATGGGAACTAGAGTTTAGCAAATTTTCCCATGAAAACTTTATCCCTTAAAATGGGGCAGTGGAACAAATGTTTACTAATTAAGGGTGAAAGGTGAGGCGTCTTAGGCCACACAGCTGTTGCAAAAGCTACTCCTCAATTAGCTGACTCAGCCTTACAGCATACAAATAATACCAACATCATTTTCAGCTAATCTATGATATCCCAGGGAGGTGGGTGGAACCACATTCACTACTTGGTGGCTCAGCTATAAATGACAGATTGATCCTGAGATCCTATCTCACAGTCAGGCACTGATCAGGTGACTCAAGCACAGTGAAACTTCACCACCTGAGAAGTCATTCTTTATTGTGCAAGTTCAAGGTTTATGTCTATGTTTATTCACCATCCAGGGTGCAATGTCTTGCATATCTGCATTGTTTTTCCCACCATGCCTCACTCATTTACTTGTACAGTAACTGAACAAGGTTATTCTGTTTTAATATTGCTAATCTATTAGTATCCATGATTCATTTTATCATGCAAAATCGTGCATGTTACACTATAAAGTCATTTGGATGTCATCTGCTGGCGCAAGACTATTGGGAGGTCCTTGTTACATGCGAGTTCAGCATTTGTAAATTTAGTTATATGCAAGGATCCTATTTCTACCAGAAATTCACTGTACCTATGTGAGATATATTTAGTCTTATACAGTACTGCTGAATGCGAAAAATCATGTTCTTCACCACTTCCCATCTTTCAATACAATTGTTCCTTGTCAAATGCAAGTCTACACAATTACATACGAAATTATTTGACACTATTATCCCCATCATGAAAGCATACCCACTTAAACCTACAAATAAGTTGGCACAAGTTGACAAATGGTCCCTGTTTTAAATTTAACATGCACCTAGCCCCACTTGGCCTGCCTTCCAACCCCTCTAATGGAGAAATAAGCAAGTTAAATATTCAATAGTTTTATACTTACATATACACTGTAAGTTGAACCAAATTTAAAGTTATGGAAAGGGGAGGGGGGAGGAGGTCCCACACTTTCATTTAAGACCGAAAACCTCAATTTACGTTTTTTTTTTTTAATAAAAAAAATTATTTTCTTTTTTTTTCAGCATTGGAAGATGCTAAGTGCCTACACAGTCATCTTAGGGCTTCCCATATAGGACCTGGTCAATTTATAAAGACAAACTAAAAACAACATATTAAGAGTGGTCAACAGTGTTTTAGTTATCATGGCTCACAGGACTGCAACGTGAAGCAGTGGCAAGAAGCACTCAATATATTTCGACTGGGAACACAGTTCTGGAGTTTGATCTGAAGCTGGAGAACAATATTTGCTCAAAACATTTGGTTAATAATGAAAAAAGGCCAAAATAAAGAAGGGTATTTTATTTATTACCAGTATGCTTACTTATTTAATGTTGGTTTTTCCATCATGTATCTGCAGAAAGAGCAAAATACTAAAAGGAAATACAGATACAAACACATGAAGAAAAGCAATTACAGTAGAGTGTTGTGGTACAGCAGTAACATGCCTCTCTCTTATCACTGTGACATAGATCCAAATCTTGGCCCCAAGACATATGTGGAAAGGGTATTACCCAATGTAATCGATGTATCAAACATTACAGGTTTCCTCAGGGTACTCTGATTTCCTTCTGTACTAATACTGGACAATAAAGTTCGTAACGAAGTAAATAAGAACAGACCAACTGCCCAAACAGTTAATAAGTTGATAATTAAGTGGTGAAATAATTCAACATGCCCAGATAATTCGCAGATTTTTATTTCACGGTCCTCTATTATTTGTGGATGACACCCTGGATATACCCAAGAATGTCTGCGGGTAGTTTTAACGTTGCCGGCATTTTTGCAGCCAGTACAGAGAGCCTGCAAGTTTTGTGGTGTCCCGCGAGGTGTCTCTCTTATCCCGGAAGACTGGTCCCATTCCCTCCGTCTCAGTCCGGGCAAAACACTTGTCCGCCTCGCCTTGTGCTTGTGATGGCTCCTAAATGCCCTCAACCACCTTCATCCAGCTGCGGGAAGGTGCCCAAGCAAGTGAAGAGAGAAAAGGTCATGAACCTAGTGGAGAAGATACAACTGCTGGACAAACTTAGGAGTGGCCAAAGCTTTGCCGTGTGTGGCTGGGAGTATGGCATCAATGAACCAACTGTCTGTTACATTAAGAAGAAAGAAAAGGAAATACTACAGGGCATTTCAACAGAGTGACAGTACAAAAAGGTAAGATTGGCTGGGAGTGAGTACACTGGTCCCTCGGTTAACGAACACAATTAGTTCCAGAAGGTCGTTCGTTAACCAAAATTTTTTTTTAACTGAATCCATTGTTTCAGTGGGATATTAGGTAATTGGTTCCAGCTCACAGAAAAGGTACATACAAAGTAAAAAAAAAAATGCAGTAAAGTACATTTACTTTGAGGTGTGTATGTAGAAGGCTCCTGGTTGATGATGATGATGGGAATTAGAAATGGGGGTGGAGGAGAAGGGAGAATAGAAGGAAATGGGGATGGAGAAGAAATCACCTTTCAGGGGACCCATGCTTGATGCCGTCATTTCACCAATAAAATTTTAAGTTCACTAGGTGTAATTCAAGATTATTTTCTTTAAATCAACACTGCACTGCGCTATATATTATCAATATGTTAACTAAAGTTCAGAATGACCAATAATTTCAATGAAAAATGCAAAAATATTCAAGACACCAACAAAATAGATGCTATCTCCGCTGTTTTCAAAGCCCAACTGAGCCTTGTGACCGACTCACGCATCTGATGGGTGCACAACAAGCAGTTCCCTGTACTGCATATATTATCAATATGTTAAATAAATGTCAAAATGACTAATAATTTTAATATAAAATATGCAAAACTATTATAAAGCACAACTTTATTGATATTTACTCCATTGGAAACATATATAAACATAGAACAGATTACTGAATTGGCAGACTGGGCCATCAGCTGACCAGCTGATGCTCACAACAAAACATGATTTGCGTAAGGATTTCGTTAATCGAATTTTTTTTCGTTAACCAAATTGAAGATTCTTATGGAAGGTAATTCGTTAACCAAGGGACCACTGTACTGTATTGGCGGACTAGCCGATCAGCTGATGCGCACAACAAAGGGTGTTTCTCGTAAGGCTTTTGTTAATCGAAGATTTGTTCGTAAATGGAACTGAAAATCCTTATGGGAGCTAATTCGCTAACCGACACTTAGTTAATTGGACCTGTCATTAATGGAGGGACCACTGTACTGTACTATAGATTTAGTATTATTTTTTTTTTTTATCAATTTCCCATATACAATATTACATGAAAAACTTAATATAAATTTGACAATCACACTTGTCGTGAAAAGTAACGCAATAAATGTACATACAGTAGTTACGTAGAATTGGGTAAAATATACCCGTAAAAGTTCTTTTATACAAAGTAGTATATTATTAAGTTATTTAAAGGCTTACGTACCTAATAACTCAAATGAGTTGGAAAATTAAATGAATTTTAATGACCCACATGAGTTATTACTGTAGTAAGCCAGAAACTTTCTTTTCAGGATGGTGTGGAAAAATATTCTCCCTTAAACTAAGATCTGCTTATTTAACAAAAGTTAATAGAAAACTACCTCATAGTAAATTAGCAAAATTACTAGATATAAATTATTATAACATCAGTTCAGGGGAGTAAGATAAGATCTCTCCCAGGTAAACCGGGTCACGTGACAAAAAGACGCAGCACTGTGACGCCATGTGGGAGAGCTCCACACCACATCAAAACTAACAGACCTGCTAACTTCAACTTATGAATATTAGATAGCCAATGGTCTTCAAACAACAAATTCTATATCTTCAGAAGTTAATTTATTCTGTGCATAGACCATAGTAGAAGAATATCACCTAACTAGTCTTCCAAAGTAGTGATGGAGTAAAACATCACCAGCCTAGTGATCCAGGGATGCCACACCCTTCATAACTAAGATACAGTAGCCTTTTGTTATACTGTATTGTATGGGTAGAAATTTAAGCTATCTAATCCTGACTGTCTCCAGTGCTAATCTGCAGGAACAATTTAGTTAGGTTATTTGATTTGGTCATAACATTTTGACTGGAATAAAACATCTTTGCGGTACAGTACAGGTATAACAAGGATTTAGGACTACATTCAGCATCATTCGATATACAATATAGAGGCTGGTAACATGGATAATTTAAATTTATAATACCTGTAGTATGAGTCTATGAGTTGTAATTTAAACTTGTAGACCTTTTGTTACCGGGTATTTACTTATAACAGGGAATTCCATTGAATTAGGGCATAGACTACTCTTATTTTATAGTTATAAAGAAAGTGAATTTAATTTTCAGAGAATATGATGGTGTGACAGTGGTGAAATTATTTAGAGATGCGGTAGAGTAGGACCTCATCTTTTTACCTCGCGTATTTGTATGGGGTTGCAGTAGTTTCACTAATATATTATACAGGTGTAAATCAATATTATTATTTTTTTCTGATATCACTAATGGCTGAGTGACTGTGTGTGTGGTGGTGTGAATAAAGAGCACTTGTTACCTCACTTAACCTTACACCTTAACACACCCCGACAGATCCATGATATTGATGGACACATGCTAGATCTGTCTTTAACTAATCCCCACAACTCTTACAGTTTTACCTCCTCTTGGCTCTTCTGGCCATTGCCTACATCTCTGTGACCAACTCTTTTCTCAAAGCCTGTCCAACAGAAATTTTGTACGTGCACAACAAACATTACAATCATGTTGGCAGGAATGGACTTTTC